ATCCTTGGAACGTCCATTTATGCTACAGGGAACACTGGTCATGCTTCTAAAGACATTGGACAGGCCAATGACATGTCTCAAGTTAGTAAAATTTCGCAGAGTTTTTTCCAAGAAGGGATGAGTAATAAGAGTGAACTGTTGGGTCAAGAGGTCAAGTCTTCTTCGAGTAAGCTTGATGTCAACACAGATGTTGAAAAGGGAGTTTTGGTTAAGAGATATGATGTTGGATGTGTAGCACAGAAAAGAAGTGGATTAGACTTTAACGCGAATACTGTTTCTAGCTGCTTGAGTGATGATTTATCATCGGTTTGCTCCTCAAGGAGACGCGATAAACCTAGTTCAATATCCGAGTGTGGGAGTTCTAATGTTACTGTTGAGGAAAATGATCCAATGAAGCTGTGGAAAGCAATGAAACAGAACGGTTTTCTTTCTAATCCACACGGCGGGATTTCAGCGGCACCAAGCAGTTGTCTTGTCTCATCTTCTCACGGAGGGATACCGGCTCCAAGGAAACGTGGTCGCAAAAGCAAGAATAATGAAGCTGCAATGGCGAAGAAGAGAAAGATAGAGATTGCAAGGAAGGAAGAAGTTGACAGGTTTGCTAGGCTCGCTGCACCGAGTGGATTGCTCAATGAATTGAACCCTGGAATTATTAACCATGTTAGAAACAAAAAGCAAGTACTTTCCATTATCGAAAACATTGTCAAGTCTGACAGAGATTCTGGAAACTTCCATCAACATTCGAAGAGGCATAGCAATACTACAGTTGGTGGTTCCAGGAAAAACTTGGAAGATGTAAACAGTGAGACCTCTAGATCTGTATTTAACCAAGGATTCAAGTATGGCATGCCAGAAGCTAATTACTCTATACGCTACTACGAGGAGAAATGTGCAGATGGTGAGGTCAGTGAAGAAAACAATACAGCTGTGTCAAGGTTTCAAGTAGCAAGTAAGTTCTCAGAAAATGTCAGTTCTTTGTCAAGCGGAGACATAGCAGAAGTTAACTGTAATAGTGTTCTCACTGTTAAAGGTATGTTATTTAAATTCATTATCCTTGGTGCATGGTTTTATACTACCATATGGCTTTAGGTTCATCTTTGATTTGCAGCTGCTACAGTAGCTTCTCAATGGTTGGAATTGCTTCATCAGGACATCAAAGGCCGTGTTACCGGTAACCAAAACTGATTTATGAGCATTGATGTCATGAAAACTTCAGTACTTAGTTGTTCTTGAAATTTCCCTTTTTCTACTTTTTTTTCAGCTCTTCGGCGTAGCAAGAAGAGGGTTCGAGCAGTTGTCATGACAGAGTTACCTTTCTTATTAATGAAAGAATTCTCAGCTGATCAAGAGAATGACACAAATTTACTCCTCTGTGGGACTACTTCGAGGACTTCAACAGTCGATATCCACAAGACGAAATGGATGGCTCTGTTTAACCAACTCGAACAAACGCTATCAGAAGAAGAGAAACAATTGGTAAACAAGTTATCTATAGCACACATCTTTCC